CACCAATCAAACTCTGACCAACGTCCACTTCATTGAACAGCCGAACTAACAAAACATGGAATCGCTGTACGCAACCGAGCAAGACGCAAGTGACGCGCCGGATCGTGCTGCGCGCGAAAGTGAGTGAGCTCTGCGGCGACGCCTGGCGTGATTGCTCAATTGCCACAGCTCTACCAGGCAAAAACCACGGACCACGCTCCAAGTGCCGCGCGAGGACCCCGCTCTTTTTGCCCGAGCCTGCCGACGCCGATGGCCATTCAGAAGCCTCCCCGGATGACACACGGCCTCGCAAGCGCCGGCGCACCGACATGGCCTTTGGGGTGCGGCGTTTTCTGGATCTGGAGGCGGATGAAAGCAACGAATCGCCAGAGGGGGACGATGAAGACGCGTTAGAGGAAGGTATGTATGCACGCCGTAATCCACCTCCGAGTCAGGGCGTAGCTCACGAAGACAAAGGATTCATTGACAACACGCCGGTGCGCGTCGCCTCGGGCTCGCCCCGCCCTCACATAGCGGCGCGTGGCCTAGAAGACCGCGCGCGCGAAGCGGACCAATTGGCGGCGCAGGCACGCCGCTTTGAGCTCAGGGCCCAGGAAGAGCGACATGCTGCTGTCGGATGTGGAGCGCCGGTGCAGAGCTTGGAGCAACACATGCTTCAGCTGCTGCAACCCCCGTCGCCATCCAGAACTTTCCCCCACCGATGGGCGCGACTCCACCGGGCCCATGGGGCGGCACAAGTCGGCCAGCTGGTGCTTGTGGAGTCTCCCACATCGGTGGTGGTCGTCGTCGCGAAGGAGAGCCCACATCACGACAACGGAAGGGACTCGCCGCTCGTCACCGACCCCGTGGGGTTTGGGCGTCTTAGCGTCAAATCAGGCAAGGCGCTCGACGAGGCTCTCTCGTGGGAGACGGGCCCCACACAACACGACATCGAGCTCTGGGATCGCGCCGACACAGGCTTGTTGCGGGCCGTGACAGACCCCATGGCGGGGACGGCGTGTGTTCCTGGCTGTCGGGTCGCAGTGGACAGCCGAGACCCTGAGCACAGCGGCAAGAGCGGGTTCCTGGTCGGCAGAATGAACTCGGCGTTCGCCCGCATCAGGCTCTCTTTCAATGGCAGGCGCATCCACCTCTCAAGCCCGAACATCTATCAGCTGCTGCATGAGCGGGCCCTGCGCGAGGACGATGAAATCGAAGTCCAGCTGCCGCACACGAGGAGGCACCTTCTGAGTTTTCGTTCCCCCCTCCAAATATTGGACCGTGTCGTCGTACTCGGCAGCGCGCTCGACAACCCGAGGGGTCGGGTGAGCGAGATAGACACCAGCGCGCCCGCCCCGACAGTGACCATCGTCGCGTCAGACGACAGTATGCTGCAGGTGCCGCTGTCGTCGGTGGCTCGCGACTTTGCGCTCGGAGACCTGGTGAAGGTGATCTCGGGCAGGGAGGCGGGTGCCACTGGGATCGTCGTGAACTTGACACACACAGATTTGCACTGCGACCAAGGCCTCCCTCTGGGACTCGAGATTTTCTCGGTCAACAAGAGAGCGGACTCCGAAGGGAGCGGGAAGGTCAAGAGGTGGGAGCAGGTGATGAAGCTGCTTTTTTCGGGGATGGAAGGAGAGGATGATATGATGGCGGGACTAGACACTACGAGTGCCGGATACGATTTGGTGAGCTTCATCCCTCGCGCGGGCTTCGTGCCGAGCTCAACTGTGCATTCCAGCTGCAAGTCCTGTGCGAGCAGGTCGAATTCACCGAACCCGAGGCGCGCGCTGGTGGCTGGACGGTGCCGACGATGCCGGAGCCGCTTTATCGCACACGACAAATGGTAAAGGCGGACGGACTCAAGGAGGAGGGGATGCGGGCCGGGCGCAGATACAGAAACAAGCCCATCCTCATTGTCCGCCCGCATGCGATGAAGGGCCGGCGAGGCGTCATCGAGGACTATCACGAGGTGCTCGTACGAGGCACTAGTGAGCGCAGGCTGGTGTTCACGGTGCGGATCGACAACTCCGTCAAAACATGCCAAGTTCCCGAGAAGCACGCGGTACATCTGTGGTACGCCACCCGCGCATCGGCTATTGATTCACAACTGAACTGATGTGGTGCGCAGGACAGGGCTTCCTCTCAGACAAGCGCAGCACGTGGCGCCATGGGCGGGGGTGATGAAGTGGAATTGGTCCGACCAGGTCGTGGCGGACTCCCTCTGCGTCGACGGCATGCGCACTCCGCTGCAGTCGTCGTCGGCCGACCCTGACCCCGACCCCGCCTGGGTTGTTCCGTCGGAGCAGAGTCCGGTTCCACGTCCGCCGCCGCCGCCGCGCATCGGAAAAGACGGCGGTCGCTGGTTGTGCATTCCCAAGCTCCAAGGGAAGAGAGTCGATGTCGTCGTGCTTCAGAAAACCGCGGGACGCGTAACTCCGCGCCAGGCCAACGCTGAGGGGCAGTCAGGCTTCATAGAACTGGACCAGGCGATGACGGAGGACCGCCTTAACACTACAATCATCGTGCGACTCGGCGACTGGGGGAAGAGGGTACGCCTGGAACCCCGATGGCTGGCGCCGATGCGCACAATGCGCTGCCCGCCGACGTGCATGCCGGACGTGTCCATCACTGCGTGGAAAGGTCGGGTGGTCGTGATTGGACCCGACAGCATTGGAAACACCGAGCACATGGGCGAGTACGGCTGGACCATGCCAATGGGTAACCCAGACATGACCTGGGTCAAGTTCGCGCGAGACCATCGGGATGGACCGCCGCTTGAAGGTTATTACCACGTCCAGTCGCTGTGTCGCGCTCACAACAGCGCCGGCGTCAATACGAAGCCCACCGTGTTCTTCTAGATTGAATATCATTTGTGACAACCTCAGATGTCGGACTGGTAGATTTTGTAGCATACGCACTTGTACTATACACTTAGCCAAAAAAAAAACATTTTCATTCCACTGGCGCCCGTCAAGCGCCCAGTTAGGTAAGCGCAGAATGACAGCTGTCAGCAACGCCGGAAGTCCTATTTGGCATCGTGGAACGCGGACAGGGGGACGATGGCGAGGAGAGGAGAAGGAGATTGGACTCGGCGGGACGGCGCGCGATTTCATATGATGACAGGCGTAGGCCTCAGAAACAAACACTGCGATACAGACCTCCAAACGGATAGCGCCAGTCCCTATTTGGCAGGTCGTGGAAGGCGGGCAGGAAGGCAGAGGGGGACGATTGGACTCGGCGAGACGACGCGCAGTCAAGGATACCGCGCTTTCATATAATGACAGGCGTAGGCCTCAGAAACAAGCACTAGGATACAAACCTCAAAACGGATCGCGTTGTAGAGTATACAGCGCTGTGCTTATGCCAGCCCTAAGCTTAGTGAAAGTTGAGGCTAGGATCGCCGCGAACTCGGGGGGCGGGCCACGTAAATATGTAGAAAATAAGGTCCGAATGATTAGCAAAGTTTTATCAATTTTCCTCCTGACCTCTACCTACGAAATGTGGGTCCGCGCTACTATGATGGTGGTCACAGAACTAACGAGAAGCAGGAGTGAGACACCAGAGACGACGCAACAGCGGCCGCAGGAGGATGGCACACAGTCTGTCGAAAGGTACGTCTTGCGGCTGCAAGCATTAGAGGCACTCGCTGACGCTCGCCAGGACGGGGAGACCGCTGCTTCCGCTCGATCTACTAGGCGAAATCGTGCAGTGGCTGCCGGAGGGGCTTTGGACCTCCTCGACCGTCTGTCAGCTATGGCGGGCACATTGGTCGTCCCCCGCCCACGCGCGACGCGTGGTCGTTGACGACAGGTGGCCTGTCGGCCCGAGGCAAATGGACTTCATGGTGGACACGCTAGCAGCGGCGCCCGACCATCCTACAACCGAACTCCAACTTGACTGGAGCCGCGGTAGGGGGAATATGCGGCAGATGGAGCAGATTATGCTCATGGCGCTTTCCCGGCCGGAAACGTGGACGTCACTCACCATTGTCGAGTACGCGACAGCGGACGGGTTCGATGACGCGCGCGCGATCTTGCGTTCTCAGCTGCCGTTGATGCATCGACTCCGCAGCCTGGTGATCGAAGGACACAGTGACAAGGCGGGCTTCTACGTGCACTCCCCGGGGCCGCCCATCTCCGTCGCGACGCTGGAGTCCGCGTTCGTCTCATTCACGCAGATAGATCAACCGGAATTGGAGTTCTCGTTGGATTGGTCGAAAATTCATCGATACGAGGAACACTGGACCAGGCTGCATTCCTGGAACCTGCCCGCCACACATCTGCGCCAGATGGTCCAATTGACACATCTCGTGCTCGTGGGAGCCTGCATGCCGGATGGCCCAGTCACCTTCGACGTTCTGCTCATCCTGGAGCTCGACTTGAGGAAGCACGCTCACCGGGGCCCTGCCGAGAAGGGTGTGGACCCACTGCAAAATATTCGAGCTCCAGCGCTACAAAGACTGTCAGTCCGCGCCGGCGTATCGGGCGGTCTCGACATGGGACGATACATCGTGAATTACCTGCGACGGACGCCGCACACCCACCTCGCCGCCCTTGCGATCAACAACACGACCGGCGATGTGATGATGCAGCTGTGGGCGGAGTGTCCCGGGCTGCGGCTGGAGCTCGCTCAGCAGCCGCCCGATTGCAGCATCCTGCCAGTGGGACTGTTGAGGGTGCTAGGGAGCCGGCGGGTGGCTGGACAGCTTGTGGTCCACATGGGATCCACAAGGATGGATAACCTGGAGTTGTGGTTGGAGGCACTGGAACGGGTGCTCGCAAATGAGAGCCTGCGTATCCGAATCGAGAGGCATTGGTGGGGTCGACCCCCATTCGCCCTCGCGCAGTGGGGTGTTAAGTACAGTGATATTCTGCGACAATATGCGGATATAATAGAGCACAAAGACCATGTACCATAATCCCGTTGATAATCGTCCATCTGGCGATCTTTTTTTTTTTGGTCTTCATCGGGGATGGCTGGTGCTCGGATATCGGACATGTCCACTACCGCTGTTGGCTTCGTCGTGTAGAGGTTATCGCGTCTGCTTGTTTAGCTTCAACTCAAGTAAGTTTTGCGCGGAGGGCCTCGGTTCGAATCCGAGTGGCAGCGTTTTGTTTTTGCCAAGTATTACTTGGTATTTGGACTTCTCAAACATCCAGTAGTGATTCATCGCTAGGGCGATTTGACACGCACGTTGAGAGACGCGATTTTAGTTATCGGCATGAAATAGTAACAAAAGAAGAGTACACAAAAAAAAAAAAGGAGGTCGTTCATTGTTTCATGCCCGCGCTCGGGGTCGAACCGAGGTCGGCGCCAAGAGCACTTCGTCATTATGGCACTATATGGCGACGTGTTAACGATAACACCACACGGGCTACGCTGTATCATGGGATATGTGAGATATAGGTAATAAGTAATGATGATCAAGAATACAAGAGCGCGCTGGCGCCCCCGGCACTTCGCCTCGGAGGCTGTGGTGGCACCACGTCCAACTGGAAAACTCCGAAGCGGAGAGTCGGAGCTTAAAAGGCTTCGGACACACGCAATTTTATAAAGAGAGAGAAGAGAGAAGAGAAATAAAAACGTATCTAAATCCGGCCATACCCTGAACACCCGTGAAGTCTCAAGTTGCTCAAGTTGCTTTGATGATAGTAATAGCGCGAATAGTACTGATTCAGTTTCATGTACACAAGGACACAAAGGCCAAAATTAAAAATTAAAAATTAAAAATCCTCCCGCCCGCGCGCGGGCATACGTGCGCGCAGCCTGCGAAACCCTCCGCGCACGTAGAGCGTGCGCGAGGGGCGCGGGTTCCAAGGCACAGAAATGCGTGCGCGCGAGGGTATCTCGTTGGGGCATACGTGCGCGTCGCCCGCGCACGTACATAATAATAAAAAAGAGGCGCTGCAAGATCTGGCCCCTGCCGCGGGCGGATACGCGTGCGCGGACATGCGAGCGCGGCGTTGGGTCACCTCCGCGCACCGCCATACGTGCGCGGGTAGGCGTGCATGGACATGCGCGGGCGGGCTGCGCGTGGGCGGGCATGCGTGCGCGGCGTTGGGTCACCGGCCGCGCGGGGCCATACGTGCGCGGGCAGGCGTGCGCGTCGGCCTGCACACGTAAGCAGAGCGCAGGTTCGTCAGAAAAATAATGGCCACCGGCTGCGCACGGCGACACGTATGCGTCGGCCGCGCACGTCCATAGAATGCGTGCACGCGCGGACATGCGTGCGCGGGGGTGGGGTGCAAGCTGTGGTCGAGGTGCCACGCACGGCCATACGTGCACGTCGGGCCGCGAACGTCCGTAGAGTGCGCGGGGCTTACTGCGCGTCACGCAGAGGCGGGCATCGTGTCGAGAAGCAAGTGCCAATAGGCGCTGAAAGGGCGCCTCTGTGGCTGTTGACGAGCCATTTCTCGGGGCATGCCGGAGCTAATAATAAGGCCATTAATAATGCCATTATTATTAGTTCCGGGACGTCCCGAAAGATGGCTTGTCACACAGCCACGCACATGTCAGCACCGGCGTCTATTCTTTGGCTTCCCGCCACCATGCCCGCGATCGGGGAGGTGGAGGTGGGGTATGCGTGCGCGGGGTATGCGTGTGCGGGGTATGCGTGCGCGGTGGGGTGGGGTATGCGTGCGCGGGGTATGCGTGCGCGGTGGGGTGAGGTATGCGTGCGCGGGGGATGCATAGAAGACCAAAAAAAATATAATACAGAAATAAAATTGATGCACGGGTATGCGTGCGCAGTGGGGTGGGGTATGCGTGTGCGGGGTATGCGTGCGCGGGGGATGCATAGAAGACCAAAAAAATGTAATACAGGAAATAAAATTGGTGCACGGGTATGCCTGCGTGGGCTTTGGCGCAAGCTGTGAGCGGGTATGCGTGCACGGCTATGCGTGCGTGAGGTATGCGTGCGCGGGGGATGCATAGAAGACCAAAAAAATGTAATACAGGAAATAAAATCGGTGCACGGGTATGCCTGCGCGGGCTTTGGCGCAAGCTGTGAGCGGGTATGCGTGCACGGCTATGCGTGCGCGGGGTATGCGTGCGCGGGGGATGCATAGAAGACCAAAAAAATGTAATACAGGAAATAAAATCGGTGCACGGGTATGCCTGCGTGGGCTTTGGCGCAAGCTGTGAGCGGGTATGCGTGCACGGCTATGCGTGCGCGGCTATGCGTGCGGGCATGTTTGGACACTGCGAAGTCTACCAAAAATGTATACTAACATACGCCCGGCCATTTCTCGGGGCATGCCGGAGCTAATAATAAGGCCATTAACAATGCCATTATTATTAGTTCCGGGACGTCCCGAAAGATGGCTCGTCAACACATCCACACACTTGTCAGGATGGGCGTCTATTCTTTTGATTCCCGCCAGGTCAGGCAGAAGGTCGCGAGGCACTGGTAACAGTAGTACCACATAGATTGTAGTAGTTCCGGCGAGACAACATAGTAGACATGCGACGACAGGTAATGTAGTGTAGTGACTACTTCGTGTGCTCGGCACCTTCGAGCCAGCGTCGGTGGCCAATATAGTCTATCAGGTTGCCCACCCCGACGGTCTTGGTGGAATCCTTCAGAAATTTCTCCAGCTCCGGGTCACCGATTGTGAGTCGGTCGGTTATGAAGGCCTCTGCTTTGGCGGCGTTTAACATAAAAGTCTCGCCGCGGCCAAAAATGTGCCTCCAGTTCCGCTTATTGATCGGAATCTTGTGCAGGTGTCGCGGGGCGGTGAAAGGGACGGAGGGCCACGCCGCGCGCAGCTGGGCCATTTTTTGGATTAGGTCCCAGGTGTCGGGAACATTTGGAGGGGCGGTGTGGGTCCTCGTCTCTTTGGTATGGTGGAGTGCACCGATCCAGGGATTGGCGGGCAGCAGCAAGTCGCGCATGTACTCTTCGATTTCGGCGTGCTTGGCAGCGGTCGCTTCACTGATGTGCCCCCTCTTCACAGGCGGTTTAACATCTTCCTCGGCTTTAACCAAAGGCTCCACCTGCTCCTCGTCCTCGCCGCTGGACTCCCCCTTGTCGTCGTTCTTGCGAGAGTATGGCGTCAGGCCGTTGATGTGCTCCGCCTGGGGGAGGATGTTTTCCAAGCCCGGCACGCATGGAGGACTGGAGTCCTGCAACGGTGGTCAGTGGCGGCCTGGGTGTCGAACGCGGCGAGACGTGACTTACTTCGGGATGCCTGAATATGACCATGATGCGCAACGCGTCGTGCGCACCTGTGACCGGAATCTCGCGGAACATGGTGAATGAGTGGTCTCTCTCAACTTCTGCGCCTGCGCGGTGCTGACGAGCGAAGGGTCCAGTCATCCATGGAAAGCCAGGCAAGCAGAACCAGAGCTCCCAAGGGGCTATGTTACGGTGAGCGTTCCGGACCGCAGGCACGGACTGAAAGAGACGTACGATTAGGAACACAGCTGGCCTTGAACAAGGCGGCTATAACCGCGCTGGCTGGGACGTACAGGCTGGGGATCATTTAATCGGGAGGGGAGGGTCGTGCATGTTCAAAGACTTACGAAGTGGTACCAGGCGAAGGACCGTACAGGTCGGGGGCTAAACTGACCCCGGGAGCGAAAACAGTCTCGGCGTTGTTAAACGCCCGGGTACAATCTTTGACGAGGACCCTGGCTTTCCAGTCCTGGTCGCGGGCGGCTTGTAAGATGGGTGAGCAGATAATTGGACGTTAGATGCACCACTGACTGTGCTCCAGGGCCTGATAGAAATCGGCCATGTTGTGAAGGCGTTCAACGCCGTCCAAGTCGGTGGGGTCGACAACTTCCTTCTTGACGGGGCGCGCAGCAATGGCATCGACATCGATCGTCTCGCGCGCGGGTTCGTCGGGAATGGTGTCGACGTCGATGGGCTCGTCCGCGGGCTGGTGGACTTCGACCTTGACGCGGAGGTCGCCCGCTTGCGAGTTGGGCTCGTCGACGACGATTGGGTCCGGCATGGTGTCGACATCGATGGGCTCGTGGACTTGGACCTTGAGAGGGTCGCCCACTTGGGGGTTGGGCTCGTCGACCGCGATCTCATCCGGCTGCTCGTCCACGACGATCTCCTCCAGCTGCTCGTCGAAGACCGGCTGTGCGGCGGGAACCGGCTCGACGGCGGGAACCGGCTGGACAGGGAGCACGAAGGAGCATGTCGAGCCCTCGACCTTGACGTTGAACTAAACGAGGCGAAATTGCGGTGGGTGAAAGAGAGGGTGTACCGAAGGACTTACAGGTGCGACAATCAGCTTATCCGTGATGTACTGGCGAATCAGGATGTCAGTGGGGGAACCTGGGCGGCCGGGCGCTGTGCCAGCAACAAACGCCCAGTCGACAGCGATTTGGGCATCGAGAATCTTCTGGATCGCAGCCTTTTGTTGTCTGGGTGGCTTCGTGGCGGGCCTGTCGGGAGCGACCTGGCCGAAAGGGTACTCTTGGTGAGCCTCCAGGATAGCCTGTACGAAAATGAGTGGAGGGAAGGGGACGAGGGAGAAACCTGCGGAACGCACTACCAATTGCACGACGGAGATGTTGAGGGACCACCTAAGCACGCGGTGAGGACGGGTCTTTGACTAGATTGGGGAAAACTAACAAGTAGTCCCTTGTCAGGGGGAGGGACACCATGGCGGAAAAAGACAGGATGATTTCTGGGGGGTAGTGAGACGTAGAGACGGCAATGTTTGAATCACGAGACCATGTGGTTTTTGGGAACTGTATAGTGGAAGACGGATCGGGTTATTCTCCTTGAAGCAGATGACGAATTAATGGCGCAAACTTTGGCAAGCCCAAGATAGTCGGACCAAGGATATCCTGAGACAACCCGTTGGATTCGTGCTACTTTATTGTGCAATGTATAGACGATTTGATTCTGATTGCCCGGTACAAAAATCTGGTAGACGAGCCAAATTTAAAGGGGGATTGACTGGGCAATGTATATTTTGCGAACTGTATACGGAAGACTAGCAGTACTACGGCGTTTCCAATGAAATGACAACACAAAACGTTGAGGTAGGGGTTGAGGAACTGTATAGGTATAGTGGATGTACGGGAAGGTAGTCGAATGTACGAACACCTTGGGCGCGGGTGTGCGTATTAGGAAAACACGGTACGTGGGCTACATGGTACTTTACTTGATCGCTCATTTATGGAAACACGGAATGTGCATGGGGTATTCGCTGACTTGCGCGGCATCCCTTTCGCCACGCCTTTAAAATGAGACTCCATTCCCCACCGGGCCCGTAGCCGGAGGCAACCGCCCTGGCCAGCACCTCGGGCGGCGTCGCGCGCCAGGCTATCCAGCTGTCGGAGAATGTGCTGGAATGGAACTTCAGATCAAGATACCCAAAGGCGGTCTGGAAGCGTTCTAACGCGGTCGACG